ATAATAGTAGCTCTAAAAGATAGTAATGGAGAACAAGCGACTTGCACAATATATCTAACACTAGGCCTCTCGACATGCAATTTTAGCATTTGGCTTGGTCAAAATTATTCAACATAAAATAATCTAAAAAAACAGGCAACAAATTACTAGCTCAAGATTTTGCAATATTCCTATAGGTTCTACAAGATTCCTTGTTTGCCTTCACCTTCATTGCCTTCGCCTCTATCACTCGCAAGGCTCCTCACACATCCTTCATCTTCCTCTCAATCAAGGTCCAAGGCTCATCTTCAATAATGAACGAGCAATAGGCAACGGCTAGGGTAGAGTAATCGTGCAAGAGGGAGAGATTGAGTTTTTTATAAAATAATTTGAATATTTTAACAGGGGCAATGTTGTCTTTTGATCCCAGTTATAAATTACACTTAAGTCCTAGAAAATTTAACTATAATTTCTAAATTTTACAGGATATATTTTTAAATAAGTTACTTTTATGGGATTTATATGTAATATTTCCTTTTTTTTTTCCCCTCTAATTTCGTTCCTATCCACCCTCACCGACAGCTCACCCACATTTCATCATTCACCCACTTTATTTCTTCCTTTTCCACGGATTGACGCATAGGCCATTCCTTATTTCCCCATTTAATTTTTTTTTATTTCATTTTCCAACAGCATTTCTCCATTCATTTTTCCCTTCCCTCACACGTATTCATACGTGTTTTTCTTCTCTTCTCCAATCAACAGTCACATCCCCCTCCACTCATAAGGAATTCACGCCACCTCATCCATCATCGGCCACCTTGCATCTTCATCAACTGATGGCCGTGACTTATGGCTTGGTGAAAAGAGGAAGAACAAAAATCTTGGAGGCTTGAGCTAACTTAAGAGACAATTTGGAATGAGCATGGAAAGCTTAAAATTTACATTTGAAGACTATTAAGAAGTAATTTTTCATTTATCTTTTCAATTCAAAAGTTTAGAATTATTTAATTTTAAATAATTTTAAGTTGTACTGCTTGAATACAATCTAGTTTTAGGTTATAAATATTTTAAAACTTGAATTGAATTGATATTTAGATTGATTTTATGTTGAATGAATATCTAAAATTTATGTTTATACATCCCTTACTTTGTCAATTAAATTAGTGATTGAATTCTCATTGTTAATTTAATTGTCATTGTACTGTTTGTTGTAAATTTAGGTTGTTCTTTTTACCTCTTGGTTGTTCAATTGAGTTGGTAATTTGTCTAATTATTCAATTAAATAATTTAAACATATTTTCCAACTTTATTTTTATAGTAATCATCATTGGATTTAATAAATTTAATTTGTCTAATTCATTGTCATAGCATTTGGTTCATTATAAATTCTCTAGTAAATTAAATGTTACACTTTATACCTATGGGTTTCCTTTACTTTAGTTAGGTAATTAAATTTATTAATTCTACTCTCATATCATTTTCTTTTAGTCTAACTAATTGAATTGGGTTTAGAAAAATTAACTCCATGTGATGTCATAAGTTATTCCCTTTAGTTGCATAAATTGCATTATTTGCATTTTAGAGTAAAAATCTAGCATTTAATTTTAGATTTTTTAGCAATTAAATACCTAAAATTAACTTAAGATAACCCCTAAATTGCTCCTTGAAAGAATGATTTAGGATTGGCCTATACTATATTAAGTTAATGTTAATTTAATTGAGTGCTGACACGACTTAGACATTCATCAGCAGTGTATTGACTTGTCGTAGGATATTCAAATTGCTTGAGAATTATGTAAGGATGTTTTTTCTCCCAATGGCTTGCCAAGGTAATGAAATTGCTAATATGTTGGCAATAATGAATTCTAAAAAGATGTGTCTATTTGAATGGCTTTCAAAAGTTACATCTTTTTTATCTAATTTTTTGCTTGCTGATTTAAGGGCTGTTAAAATTTTTACTTTTGATTATTTCTGTGATGTCTGAAACATGGTGTTAATTGATTGTTTTTGTTTTTGTTTTTCTTTTTTTTTTGTCTTGTCTGTTTTGTTGGCCTTGGTGAGTTTTATGTGTTGGGTTGTATGTAGGCTATTAGTGTGTGTAATATTTCGTTTTTGATGATTAATAAAATTAACTCTTTTTCTAGAGGAAAGAAACTCATAAATATTGGAGGAATACTGGTAGATCACTATCAAATAAAAAAATTACGAACTTCCAGAAAACAAATACTTATGATAATTTGTAATTTTTTTGTAATAATAATTTGTAAATTTTAAATTTTTACTTTTAAATATGTAACTACTTGTAAATGTTCAAATATTGCAATTTTAATAAAACACTTAAAATAAAAAAAATATTTTTAACCAATCAACATTGCAAGCTACTCAAGGGTTGGGCAAAAGCCCCACGTTGGTCAATACAGTCAAAAGGCACCAAAGTAAAACCTGTATTTCCTTGATTCAGTAATATAATGCATTTTTTCATGTAAAAAAAAAAAACTCTTTCATGTAATTAATATGACTTTTTTAAAACTGTTCTTAATCAGAAGTATGATTATTAATATTTTCTGACAACTTATTAAAAAAATTATATATGAAAATAATGTGTTATTTTAAATAACATCAACTAATTTATTAAGAATATAAATTAGTTAATAATGTCTTATAATATTACACGGATATACTCTTTCTATTTAAAAACATAAAATATTATTTATCAAATTACAGATTTACATTCCAATAAGTCAGTTAAAAGTATCTTTAAACGAATATAATTTTTATATTTGTTTTTATTTAATATAATGTACTATTGTACTTTCTGCAATTTATTTATAAATCATTTTTAATTATTTATTTATTTATTTTTGCTAGAACCAAGGAAATGTAATTAAATTATTGAAACTAGAGAAAGAAATTTCTCAACCTACTCTTGTTAACTGTATCATCTTTAAAAATACTTAATCTCTTATCTAACTTTTTACTCTCTACTCTACTCATTGTAAATTGTGATAGGGAAGAAAATAATTAATGATCAATTTTTTAATGCAAAGTAATTTATAAAAAAGATTATAAATTTCTTCTAGAAGGCAATATATATAGGACTACTGGACTGGAGAGAATATCACTTAAAGGTGAAAGGTTTGGTAGTTTATTTATATTTTAAGAGTATTTTAAAAAAATTATTAATTATATATTAAAAAATTAAAAAAATTATATTTTTTTAACATCCAATCTCATAAAAATATTTTATATTTTAAATGGATGGAGTAGTATTTTTTTTTTTTACATGAGACCTCTAGGTAATTTTTCCTTCTTTCTTTCACGTTGTTGAATGAAAATGAGAATTTAAAATATTGATTAATGTATTTAATAATGGATGTTGACTGTGGAAAACATGTATTAAATATTATAGATCATTAATATTAAAAGCATGCTAATACATGAATTAATTAACGATGGAGGCTCTTCAAAAGCTTGAGAAGACATCCTGTGGAACGCTAGTTTGGGTCTTCGATTCGTCATCGCACGTTGAAGTTGCCCTTTCAGTATCAAATTCGTAAACGATAATCGCGTCCCAGACTTTACTTTGTGAGTGTGTTTTCTTTCTTTTTTCTTTTTGGTAATCTCGTGACTGTATTTTCTTTGGCGACTGTGTTTGTGTTTGTTTGTTTGTTTTTTAGGGTCATATCTAGGCTTTTTACTGTTTTTTTTTTTCTAGTGCTTTCCGATATTAGTGAGGGCAATACTTTTTTGATAATCAATAAAATTGGCTCGTTTTTGTTAAAAAAAATTGTGAAATTAATAAGAAAAATATAACTAAAATACTATTTATTAAAGAACCCTCTCCACCTTGGGGATTGACTCAAAACAGAGAGAAAAGTTTGAGATCTAAAATAATGCCAATTCAAGATTTTTTTGGTTTTGTTTTTTTTAAACAAACTATTTTGTATTTAAAAAAAAATAAAAATATATTTGATTATATTAATTTGGAAACAATTTTAAAGATGGTCTAGTGGTTAATGATGATAACTTATGAATATGTTAGTTATAATTAAATATAATTTACAATAGTGCACTTTAAAAATAAAAAAGAAAATAATTCTAAGATTTTTTTATTTTGTTATTTTTAAAAATAAAAAATGAGAACAGGTTTGTATATGGTAAAGAGTTTTTTTTTTTTGAAATAATGGAAAAGAACACTTTAAAGTCCTCTTCATAATTATTTATCTTTTTCTTTTTTAGACTCTTTAAAATTTACATTAAAAAAGAAAACAAAACACTAAGAACACGGACACACTAGTACGGCACTCAAGAGTCCTTGGCAAGATGCGGAGGAACATTGCAAAGGCATGTTTGTTGTATTATATTAAGGACCCAAAACTCATTATCTTTGGTTTTGACCTTTTTCTTTGTTCACAAAATTCTCATTCCTTACCTTCCACCACATGCCATTCATTTCTGTAATTTAAACGAAACTATTAGATTCTTCTTCTCCAACTTCTTCACCAAACAATTATTATTTCTAAAATTTTCAGCCGTATAAAATTGTCATGTTACATATATGTAACATGATATACTTGGGTGTAGAATCTAAACAATAAGATAATAGGTAATTTTTTATATTTTTTTCAATTATATTCATAATTCATTTATTATTTTCTAAAATTATTTATTAAAATTTTAATTATTATTATTGTATCAGTTATATGAAGTATTTAATAAGAATGGGAAAAATGAATAATTTTTTAAGATTTTAACTGATTTTTTTAAATCGGGAAGTAATTAATAATGCCCCTTATCATGCATGACAGGGAGCATATATATTCTGTTCAAATATTCAGCTAAATCAATTATAATCATAATTATAATTATATAATTACATGTGAAATTTAATATTTGAATTTGAGTACTGCGGTCAAAAAAAAAATAATATTAGTACTGTAATTTTTTGCTTATCTTCATTCTTACAAGTACCAATTATTATTATCAACATTTTGAGGGTCTTCCAAACCCACACATTCCTGTCCATAGGGAAAATCTTTTACTTCTGCAACTTATTTTCAAAGCAAAAAAATTAGGGGAAGAAATTTAAAAAGCTGTGTTGACGAGATGCTTCTGTTCCCCGAATATAAATAGGCTAAATTCTAAGGCGACGATAGAAGCTCGGAGGTCGGAGTAGATCTACTGGACTGCCGAGGCCCGGCGAGATTCACGCCGGCAAAAATTTCCGGTGAGGCTGAGCCATTGATTTCGGAGATCGACGATGGCCAGTCATCACTGTAGAGTTAATAACAGTCAGAGCGGCAAGGACGGTCCGGAGATGAAGGGGAGAGCGAAGAAAACGGTGAAATTCGAACGACGCTTGGTGAGGTACCAGGAGTTGCCGGAGTTCTTAAGAGATAACGAATATATATTGAACTATTACCGCTCGGAATGGCCCGTGAAGGACGCCTTGTTGAGCATCTTCTCATGGCACAATGAAACCCTAAACATTTGGACGTGAGAATCCAATCTGTAATCCTGCTTCTATTTCAATTTCATTCAACTTATTCTACCACAAAGTTGGTATGCGAATGCATAAATTCCTAAAGAGTGATTGGTATGAACAAACCTGGATATTGATTGTGCAGGCATTTGGCGGGATTTCTGATATTCGCGGCAATCGCTCTGGTGAGCACTATGAAGACGATGCAGCTCGAGCTCGGAGATTTCGCTTCAAATTTGTGCAGGTATATATCGCCTTGGTTGAGAGACATGTATGTCAATATGTAGTTTGTTGTGGTATTTCATGGAATATGGTTATGTGATTTATGATCGACGAGGCTAATCTGAAAGTTTCTATTTGGTGGTGGGACCAGAGCTGCGGCGGGAGGCGTGTTGATGACGACGAAGGCGATCAACAGCTCTGGTAGCAACCGATTCTCGGTATGTTTACAATTTTACATTTAATTATTTCTTGCATTTAAAAATTTGGAACATTAGTTGTTGGCCTAAAAAAAATCTAGTATTGCAGAAGTCATAGCTACTAACACTGAGTTTGTCTTACAACATCTGCATTTTATTCACATTTTATTTTAGGTTTTTATATTTTTACTTTTCACGTCTTTTACGAATATAATATAGAAACTTAAAATTATATATTTTTGAAATTTTTATAATAAATAATAAATATTTTGGTAATATATCTATTCCATAAACATAAAAAATATACTAAAACGATATTATTTATAAGATATGTCCATGTACAACGTAAGCCTATAATTTAGCTGATGTTAGAAATTTCAAGTTGCAAATTTCTAAATTAGTTTTCTAACTGAAGGAAGCTTCCGCAATAATTTTTTTATTTTTTTTATTTCTGTATACGAATGTAAATTTAGAATTTAGAAGCTTATTATAAAGAGTGTTCATACTTAAGCTATCTGTACGATCCAAAATTAAAAATTTGTACAGCTTAAATTAAAAATATATATATATATGGGGACAAAGGTGGTGGGGGGAGGGGCCAGTAAAATCTCAGTGGCGCGACATATGATATGGTTGTGCGAAAGCCGTGCCTGATAAGTGGACCAATCGAGCTGAGGCCATGTGATTTCTGGTTGTTCTTAGTCTTTGGTTTTCGTTTCTTTTTGGCAGAATCTCAACTAGGACCCTCAAAAATAAATTGATTACATGTAAAACCAAAAAAAAATATTCTAAAACACTTCTATAAACCCCAAGGGCCTCAATTGCAACTAATTTTTTTCAGTTGCTAAAATACTCTTGATTTATAAAAAAAAAAAAAATCCCCACCTTCGTCAGAGCTCCTCCCAGTGCAGGGCTGCCACCACCAAATTAACCATTGCCATGCCAAATGTTGGACCTCCATCACTGGTCGCCAACAGGTGATCAATAGCTGGCCAATTTAAGAAAGGGTCTAAGGAAGGGTTTTATCCCTTGCTCCCTTAGGTGTTTAAAAGATATATTGCCACTAGTCTCGAATTATTTACTGCACAGCATATATGTATATATTTATATTATATATTGTGAATTGTTTTCAAATATTTATGTGACTTAATATTTATGTTAAATATATATATATGTTCTAAATTTATTTTTCAAGTATTTTCATAAATTTTAGTTAATCACAAATGAATTATTATTCATATTGAAAAAATCACTTGTAAATATTCTAACACAACTTGTTTATGCATAAAAAAAAGTTGCAAAATTTTAAAACGTAGCTTGTTCAATTTTTTTTAACAGTTTTTTCTTTCAATGTTGACATATTATCAATATTATACTAAATAAAAAATATATATGCTGTAAATTTATTTTTTAAAAATTTTCTTGGTTTTTGGTTAATTATGGATATATTATTGTTTACATCCGAACAATCTTTTGTAAATATTAAATATCATTTGTTTATACATAAAAAGAGTTGTAAATTTTTAAAACTCAGTTTGTTTATTTTTTAACAATTTATTCCTTCAATATTGACATATTATCAATATTATACTAAATAAAAAAATATATGTTGTAAATTTATTTTTTTAATATTTTCATGTGTTTTGGTTAATCATGAATATATTATTATTCATATTTGGATGGTAAGTTGTAAATATTCGAGCATCATTTGCTCATACATAATAAAGTTATAAATTTTTAAAACTCAACTTATTCAATTTTTTAGCAACTTATTCTTTCAATATTAACCTGCTATCAATATTATGTTAAATAAAAACATGTATGTGTTCTAAATTTATTTTTCAAACATTTTTATGAGTTTTGCTTAATTATAAACATGTTGTTCATATTTGAACAATCATTTGTAAATATGAGAACATCACTTGTTCATGCGTAAAAGAGTGATATTCAAATGTTTATAAGTGATTGTTCGAATATGAATAATAATTCATTTGTGATTAACTAAAATTCATGAAAATACTTGAAAAATAAATTTAAAACATATATATATATATATATATTTAACATAATATTAATAATTTGTTAATGTTGAGAGAACAAGTTGTTAACAAAATGGAACAAGCTAAAAAAAAATTTACAACCTTTTTATGTATAAACAAGTGATAGTCAAATATTTATAAGTGATTGTCTGGATATAAACAATTAATCAAAACCTATGAAAATATTTTAAAAATAAAGTTACAACATACATATTTTTTATTTAGTATAATATTGATAATATATCAATATTGAAGGAACAAATTGTTAAGAAAATTGAACAAGATGGGTTTTAAAAATTTACAATTTTTTTTTTATGTTTGAACAAATAATGTTCAAATATTTATAAATTATTGTCTATATATGAACAACAATATATTTATGATTAATTAAAACTCATGAAAATGCTTAGAAAATAAATTTATAACATATGCTCCTCCGTTCAAAAATGTAATACATTTTTAATTAAATCTTACCTTACAATAAAATAGTTATTTATTTTCAAACCCTATCTTTTCATATTTATTTATATTAAACACCTTATAATAAATATAAAATCATTATTAATAGGGCACTTTTAAAAAAAAGTAATGATTACACTTCGAAAGACTAAAAATGTTTTATATTTTTTATCGGAGGGAGTATATATATATATATATTTTATTTGGCATAATATTAATAATATGACAATATTGAAAGAACAAATTGTTAAAAAATTGAACAAGTTTGGATTAAAAATTTTATAATTTTTTTTACACATGAATTTCTGAATGAGCATTTGGATATAAACATGTCCATGACTAGCAGCAAGTCACATGAATGTTTGAAAATAATTTATGATATGTGTATGTGTATATTATTTTGTTATATATAATTAAAGATGTTTGCTAGTTTAATAGCAACATATCTTTTAAACAGTGAAGAGATCAAGGGATAAAACTTTTTATTACCCTATTTTTTAGATTGATTAGTTGTTGACCACTTGTTCGCGCTAGAGGTTCGGCGGCCAGTGACGAAGATCTGGCCTATAGCACCACGGTGGTGGTTTGTTCAACGGTGGCAGAGCTTCGGTGAAGATATAAATCAAGGGTGTTTTAATAATTAAATCAAAAAATTTAATTACAATTGAGACGCTTGGCTTATATAAGTGTTTTAATTTTTTTTTTTTTAGCCTTATTCATGATTAATTTACTTAGGAGGGCCCTAGTTGCTAGTCTCCCTTTCTTTTTCCGTAAATAGAAATATAGAAGGCCTTTTGTTGTGTCAGGGCGTAGTTTTTTTAAATTTTTATTTTTATTTGTTTGGCGGTGCTTCTTACGCTTTGAGCCATTATTCTACTGATATATTTTTTTTAATAAAAAGAAAAAGTTCACTTGTAATCAGAGCAAACAATTAAGGTCGCCTAACCTTATCTTGGTCCTTAAAAGTCATGCCCTTTTTTTTTTGTTATAGATTGGCCCAAACAAATTCTTTTTTAGTGATTAAAAACAATAATAACACTAACTCTAATATTAAATATAGGACATAACTAATTCATTAAAATTATGGATGGATAGTTAAACATGAAATAACTTTTCAAAATTAGTCCTATTTATTTCATGGGAAGTTGTGATTTGTAAACATGGTCATTTTGGGGAAAAAAAGTTAATTAATGATTCATGTTTTTTATGCAAAGTGATTAATGACTACCCACTCTGGTCCTAAATACTTCTTCTATTTAAAATTATAAAATTATTTTCTAAAAGATACTTCTTTCGATTCTATTTGTAGGAGAAAAAAATTGTATCTTGTATACCAAAAAAAATTGTATCACACAATTTAAGAAAATTAATTAATTATATTAATTGTATTTGAAAATAAAATGATTGGACTATAATACCCTTTATTAATTGTGTTAATCAAGTTTTGATCAATTGTTTCTTATGATTATGAATGATAAAATTATGAGGGGTAATTTAGGAAGTTTGCAATGAATACTTATTGAAAAATGTGATTTTGCTTATGTAAAAAAAACAAGCTAAAAGAGGTGGGTATAGTGAAAAAAACTAATTCCTCACAATGTGACAAACCAAGATTGATTCGAATCTTCATTGAAAGAGGTCTCTCATTTAGTGCCTAATAGTATCTTAAGCGGGATTGCCTTTGACATAAGGATACTCATGTGTAATGGGGAAAAAAACTCACTATCATGTCAATTTCTAAGCTCTTTCATTATCCCTACATCACGGCTTTCAATGTAGAGCATAGATGAAAAAAATATTTAATATTCCAACAAACTTACATGATGACTAATAAAAAAGACAAAAAATGTCTTATACTTCCTCCGGTCCCTATTATAAGATGCTTTTTAGAAGGATTTTTTAGTCCTTAATATAAGACACTTGATGGAGTATTAATTACATTTTTTTTCAATATTAGCCCTATTTAAACTTATTAACTATGATACAGAATGGAATGTGAATTTGAAAATTTTTCATTTAAATAGGATAAAGGTGAAATTTTATGTTATTTTTAGATAAAGTTAATAACTTAACCAGCTCTTCTTGATTCCGATGAGGTGATTAAAGGTGTCTTATAATAATAATCGACGGGAATATATAAAATTGGAAGGAGTAAAATATAAGACTATTAATATGTTCTAAAAGGTGACCAATATATAATATAAGATTGGATGTATTACTTAGAAGATTTTTAATATATATTAATAACTGTAAAGTTTTTAGAAATAACTAAGTTTGAAGAATAAAATCTATTTTACTACATGTAGAAATTAAAATTTATATACTCTAAAAATATAAAATGATATTTTAAATGTTACAAAGATGCTTTATTCAAAACTAGTATAAAAAACTTAAAAGCATTTTTTGTATCAGAACATTGACTCAAGAATTTTGGATCGAGGCAAATTCAATTAGAGATGGTAATTAATTGTTTTTAGTTAGTATTAGTATTTATGTAAAAAACAAAGCCCTCTTATATATTAATTGTACATAAATATCAAGCCTTCTCATACTTGTTATATTAATTCTTAAAATTTTTTTATTAAATAAATTCTTTTATTTTTTCCCTTTAGTTGACTATGGCCGCTTAAATCTAACAGAACAAATTGGCCCCAAAAAAAAAAAAGTCAAACAGAACAAGGAGCCAGGGATCTCTATAACTTTATTCTACAAGATAAGTTAGAAAAGGTGATCTCATCTGTCTTCTTGTATATTAGATGGAGAAGTCAGTAGTTCAGTATCTCTTGTTAATAAAGGGGACATTGCAATCTTTATTTGGAGTCATTTATCCATAAAGCATGTTTGCATCTGTAGCACTTCAATACTAAGAGCTTGAATAAAGAAAGAGAATTTAATTGCTATCATGATTCATCATGAAAACTGCAAACATAAGAAAATTGCATGTGAACTGTTCTAATTAAAAATTTTCGTATAAAAATCACATTAAAAGTTTAAAATCTGAATCTCATCATAGATCCTAAGATGAACACTGAACATGAAACTGAATAACTTAGAACTGATATTTGTTCTTGCCAGGATTCGCATTTGAGACAAATTTGGGAGCCATCAATCCTCGGCGAGCTGAGAGAAACAATCCCAACATGGCCATGGTTTGTGTTCTTGGGCGGAGGCATGGGCTGCTTGGCTTGCAGCTCTCTTTCCCATCTTTTGGCCTGCCACTCCAAAAGCTACAGTCTCTTCTTCTGGCGTCTGGACTACGCAGGCATTGCTCTTATGATAGTCTGCTCCTTCGTGGCTCCCATCTACTACGTCTTCTTCTGCAGCCCTCTGGCAAGCCAAATCTACTTAACCTCAATCTCTCTCCTCGGAATCCTGGTCATCATCACTCTTCTTTCCCCTTCTCTCACTGCTCCTCAGTTCAGACCCTTGAGGGCCTTCTTGTTCCTCTCAATGGGCTTTTCTGGTGTGATTCCAGCAGCTCACGCCCTTGCCCTCCATTGGGGCCACCCTCATATTTTTGTAGCTCTTGGTTATGAGCTTGCCATGGCTCTTCTCTATGCCACTGGAGCTGCGTTTTATGTGAGTAGATTCCCAGAACGATGCAAGCCTGGGGCTTTTGATGTTGCAGGACACAGTCATCAGATCTTTCATGTGTTTGTTGTTCTTGGGGCTCTTGCTCATTGTGTTGCTACTGTAATCATTATGGACTTTCGAAGGTCCTTGCCTACATGTAGGTTTTATAATTAGCCCATCCCACTCACTAAAATTAGCTGATTTTGACGTGATTGAATTTCCTGGGAAAACCAGAATGGATTAAGCTAGCTAGTAGGAACACCATAATTGTGTGTTATTCATAGTGTGATATGCACGAGATGGGTTTTTGATATTAGGAATTAGGAGAAATGGTTACCTTGGGTAATCAGATCAGAGGTCATATATTGTTGTTACTGTAATGATCACTTATGAGTGACCTGGGAATGAAAATCTCTTGCCATACTGAATTTAAGAATTGATAGTAATTTTTCCTTTATGCCTAAGATAGATTGTCAATTTTAATCACATATAAAATAACTAGAAGGAAAATAAGTTATCCTATTTAAGTAAAACGAAAGGTAAGTAAATGCAAACAAAAGAAATTGATGGTTGAAAAGCCAGAAAACAAGGAGCCAGTCCTAGAAAAATACCAGCATAGCAAAACAGCCACTGGAAGAATTTTACCACATGACAGAGCTTGTAATCAGAAGCAAAGGGGAAGGAGGTCTTGGAGTTAAAAATCTTCTTATGCAGAATAGAGCTTATATTATGAAGTTATGTTGGAATTTGCTTATTGATTTGGGTAGAGTACTTTGTGGAAAATACGATGCAGTTACATTATGTTTCCGATAGTCTTAAGAGGACAGGGACTCTCCATACACTTGGAGGATTATATGCAATGTGAAGGATGTTATAACCAAATAATAATTAGAAAAAGGAGTAGGGTAAGAGTTTTAACAGATTTGGGCATTACAGAGCCTATCCAATTAGACACTACGATATAGGACTACTAGAGTCCTTTCTTTGACGCATAGCTAATGCACCTTAGAGAAAGAGGTAAGAACAAATATTGAAAAGAGAGAGAGTCATTCTATGGTGATTTTTTTTTTTTTTTTCCATCCACCCACTACTACTTATAGTGTGAAAGGTTGTCATGAAATGAGAAATTCTAATCGTAATAAATTTGCCTCATAATGGAGGGAATTATTACAATGGAATATTTCACATTAAATGTGAAGTCAAACTTCTTGATTTGGATTCAATCAATAATTAATTCTCAATTAATTCCTAATTCCGATCAAACCTCATTAGACCAGAGTATGCCAGATATTCACTCATTGATTTGACATAATGATCGGGTCTCTATCAAGGACGGATTAGTAATTCTAACATAATGTTTGGGACAAATTCATAGGAAAGGCAAATAAATACTCTTTATGGGTTGATAAATGGTCACCTATGCTTAAATCCTTAATATATGACACTTTGATCATGGAGCAATCAAATTGAGAGACTTGTGATTTCGTTACTCCCGACGTGAGCAGGAACATCAATAAAATGAGACATTTTTTGCCCGAGGAGGTAATTAGGCATATCACCTTGGTTAAACCTCCAAGGAAATAAGGTCTTGATGGATGATGTGCTTTGCTAGAGACATAATCATGGTTTCTTGACTAAATTGGCTTACAATTTTGTGGGTAAATGTCAATACAAACCCAATACATCTATCTAGATAAGTATCTAGAAATGACCGAAAATATTAAATGCTCTCTTCCAAACATGGTTGGAGATGGAATTCATATGGAATTTATATTTAATATTTTTTTACTTTGTCATTGCAGGATTGAATTCCATGGAATGCAAAATAAATAAATAAATAAAGTGGGAATCAATGCAACGAGGAGGTTACCTTGGCAAAGAGTGTTCACTCAAACTTTTTGGATGCAGTGAAAGAATATATACATTAGTAAGGTCTTTGCTGGAGAGATTTACAGGGAAAAGGACACAACCTTTTCAGCCACATAGATTGTATTCAAGGATATGAGGCTTGATTTCAATGATTTGTTAAAACATAAGTTGAGCAATCAACAAGTCAATAAACGAATAAGCTAGAGGAAGTCGGACCCCTCAATAGTAAGCTGGATGTGCATGGTTTTGTTAATCCATGAAGAAACTAGGTTATTACCTCAGTACTTAGATACTCAGCATTCACAAGGTTTGGCTCTCTGTTGGGAGTTGGGACAAAGGATACAAGAAGATGAGAGTGTTTGCCAATTCTATGGAAGCACTCTATAACATCGTGAATTTGCAAGATAGAAATCATCCAAATTTTGGCATTTCTTAGGAGAATTATGTAATGTTTTGTAAGTAAAAATGTTCTGTCGAAAGAAAATAAAAAATGTACCTATCTCATTTTCTTTATAAGAAACACTTCTGTATGTATCAAACATACACGAATCAAAGGAGCCTGATCAAAGACGGAGTAACAAAAGCTGATGGGGGTGAGACGAGTGTTCAAGAAGGGGGAAGCTGGTGGACTGGAGGGAGAGAGGAAAACCTCATTGAGGGAACTCAGTTGACTATGGCAGAAACATTTTTAATCCCAAGGAGCTAGACATTGTGACATTTGTCCCAAATGCTTCAAAGGAGTCTCCATGGAAAAGCTATAAACTAGAATAACCTTGAAAATGATATTATATTTATAGCTACACACGTATTTGAAGATATGCTTCGAAAATATCATTCAATGCACATTAGAATGTCGTAGGGACGTTCATCAGGCAAAAGACAAATTCATAAAGGTCAAGTGGTGTGTTCTAGGTGCAATTTCGTGACTACATGGATAAAATTATTAGGATTTTAAACACATCATTATTGCTCACTTTCAAAGTGGTCCAGGTCAGCACGTTCACTCCTTAGCATTGTAGCTATTCATTATACGAAAAAGAAACATTTCGAGTTTATGAACAAACTCGTGAAATACAAACAAGGGCTACCACAAGGAAAACAAAATACAGGTCTGCAAAGTGAGACCTTATTGTTCTGGATCCTAGTCATCATCCCTTGGAGGATGACCAAGAAGCTACAAATCCGTCAACACAACAAAAAATTTATAGCAGGAAAAGATTGAAACAATTTAATACAGGAGATGCGTAGCCACTCAACAAAGGCTTCAACGTCTAGATGACTTGCTTCCGCAAAATAGGCTATAAACAAGACTGCTTTTGGACAATATGAACAAGACTGTTAACCTAACCTCCTCCATTATTAGAGCACCAGGTCGTATAAGAATTTTGCATTTCCTTACTGTCATCAGTTCTCCATGAGTTTTCAGGTCATTGAACTCGCCAACCCAGTTGTAAATTGGGGCCTCACTGTTCTAGAACATAGTCATCATCCCTTGGAGTCTCACGAAGAAGATACAAAACTGTCAAGGCAACCAAACGTTATAAAAGGAGCAGATTAAACAAATATAACATGGGAGTTACTAACAAAAGTTCAACGCACCTTAACCTGTGACCTCAATCATTTCTGCTTCACTATCACTGTAATCCCCCCAACACTTGCTTGGATTTTTCTCAGGCACTATTTCCTTGCTAAGTTCTTTTTCTTCTTGACAACAATCAGCCATTGGGACTAGGTCTATGGGATTTTCTTCTGTTTTAGAACCATTTTCAGTGCTGGCAGATTGGTCTTGAGTATTTTGCTCAACTTCCAGCTTTTCACACTTGACTTCTGTTGAAGTTTCTTCTTTAGTTTCCTTATCTGGCGTTTCATTATGTTTTCGAGATCATTTTCAACATTCTCAACTGGTGCTAGATCTGTGGAACCAGTGGGAGATGTTGCAAATCCATTTTGAGTCACTGGGATACCATTTACTGAAGTTGGATATCCATTGGATAATGGAATTCCATTGGGAGCCATGGGCAAACTACTTGGTGAAACTGGAATACCATTTGGTGAAGTCATATATCCATTAGCAGGCACTGGATAGCCGTTGGGAACCCAAGGTTGGCCAGGCACAAACTCAGTGGCATGTGGGTTCATTATCGTGGGAGGGCTAATGCAACTGCCATCAGTGGTGGGTTCACTAGTGTGGAATACAGTTTTATTTCGTGGAACTCGGTTCCCATATCTATTGTAGCCTCCAGATATGCGGGGACCGTATGGAACCCTTGCTGTTGCTGACTGATGAGGTGATCTACGGTGATTTACTGCAATCATAGGAGAAATAGTTGTTGGCGGGGGCAAAATTCCTCCATGATCTTTGAAGCCTGGAACTGGAACTGAGCCAACAACAGGAATAGTTGATGGATTAAATGGTGGCGCAGCTGCAGAAAGTTTCTTGGTTGTTTCCTTTCCTGATTCTGTTTCATCTTGCTTTTCTCCTTCTGATGGTATTGACTTGCTATCTGCATTACCACTGAGCGATTCATGTTGTTTTTCATCTCCTTCAGCAAGCTTCTCTTTTGATACAGATGCATCGTTATTGAGCAACTCTTTTGAATCTTCAGCTGAATTGGTTGGGAGAAATGAATCGAGGGGAGTTGTTGGGAAACTTTCTAGTACTTCTGTCTTTGATTCACTTCGAGCGGCACCGTCGCTCAAATTCTTCAAACAATCATTGTTCTCAACCTGCCCGACTGTGATATTGGTCGTTCCAGCTTTCTTCTCTTTAACTGTATGACTACTATCTTCTTGGGGTTTCACAGCGACAACCTCATCTCTGACATCGGTACCTTTTGCAAAATCTGCATTGTCTGTCACCGCTTCAGCTTCTATTTTGGTTTTTGCTTCATGTACAACGCTTGAACTTTCTTCTTCCGAAACCAAAAGCTGCTTCTCATCACTAGGTTTCTGAACATGTTTTTCTTCCACATCCTTTCTCGATGCTGCTGCACAATGAACCCTCTCCGTTGCAACTATCTCGTGGCTTGCCTCGGGGTTTTGCTGACCAGCAAGATTTCCCTTTGGTGATTGCTCAGCCACAGCCTTCACAATTGTACCAGGGGGAGCTAAGGCAACTTCTTTGTAGGAGAAAAGTTTACCTGCTGTCTGAACACTGATGGTACTGGCAGAAGGAGCCGTTTTAGCATTTTGATCACTTACAGCAGGGCTAGTTGGGGCTGACTTTGAATCTGCTAACTTATCTGCTCCGGTAGCTGTGGCATTGGTACTATTCACCTTAGGACTGAAGCTTGTACTCTTTACAAACTTCTTTGGAGCAGGAAGGGAGGGCCCGACTGAAGGACTCGTCTCATTTGAGCTTGTTCGAGGAGAAGAAAAATTTGCGGGCTTGCCTCGATTTCTTGATGACTGGGAAACATTAATGAAGTTAGTGTTCAGTTTTGCTAGGGTTGGCCTCCTTGATGAAGATGACTTGCGCCCAGTGAGTGAGCGACCTTTTGGAACAGCCTCTTGCCATCCTTCATCTGAGGTGTCATCCTGCCCCAGGTTATTGCTTTCATTGAGGATTGATTGATCTGAAAGCATGGGTTCAACT